AACCATAATGTTTCTAGTGATGAACCATAATGTTTCTAGTGATGAACCATAATGTTTCTACAGGCTAGTGATGAACCATAATGTTTCTAGTGATGAACCATAATGTTTCTACAGGCTAGTGATGAACCATAATGTTTCTAGTGATGAACCATAATGTTTCTAGTGATGAACCATAATGTTTCTAGTGATGAACCATAATGTTTCTACAGGCTAGTGATGAACCATAATGTTTCTAGTGATGAACCATAATGTTTCTACAGGCTAGTGATGAACCATAATGTTTCTAGTGATGAACCATAATTTTACATTACATTTACATTTTTACATTTTAGTCATTTAGCAGACGCTCTTATCCAGAGCGACTTACAGGAGCAATTAGGGTTAAGTGCCTTGCTCAAGGGCACATTTACGTCATTTAGCAGACACTCTTATCCAGAGCGACTCACAAATTGGTGCATTCACCCTATAGCCAGTGGGATAACCACTTTACAAATTTTTTTTTTTTGGGGGGGGGGGGGGGGGGGGGGGGTAGAAGGATTATTTTATCCTATCCCAGGGGGGGGGGGGGGGGGGGTAGAAGGATTACTTTATCCTATCCCAGGTATTCCTTAAAGAGGTGGGGTTTCAAATGTCTCCGGAAGGTGGTGAGTGACTCCGCTGTCCTGGCGTCGTGAGGGAGCTTGTTCCACCATTGGGGTGCCAGAGCAGCGAACAGTTTTGACTGGGCTGAGCGGGAACTATGCTTCCGCAGAGGAAGGGGAGCCAGCAGGCCAGAGGTGGATGAACGCAATGCCCTCGTTTGGGTGTAGGGACTGATCAGAGCCTGAAGGTACAGAGGTGCCGTTTCTAGTGATGAATAACAACAGTAACACCAACTTTCACCCACCTCACTCTGCCCTGTTCTGTTCTGCTCTGTTCTGTTCTGTTCTGTTCTGCTCTGCTCTACTCTGTTCTGCTCTGCTCTGTTCTGCTCTACTCTACTCTGTTCTGTTCTGTTCTGCTCTGCTCTGTTCTGCTCTGTTCTTCTCTACTCTGCTCTGCTCTACTCTGTTCTGTTCTGTTCTGTTCTGCTCTGCTCTGCTCTGCTCTACTCTGTTCTGCTCTACTCTGTTCTGCTCTGCTCTGCTCTACTCTGTTCTGTTCTGTTCTGTTCTGCTCTGCTCTGCTCTGCTCTGCTCTACTCTGTTCTGCTCTACTCTGTTCTGCTCTGCTCTGCTCTACTCTGTTCTGTTCTGTTCTGTTCTGCTCTGCTCTGCTCTGCTCTACTCTGTTCTGTTCTGCTCTACTCTGTTCTGTTCTGTTCTGTTCTGCTCTGCTCTGCTCTGCTCTACTCTGTTCTGCTCTACTCTGTTCTGTTCTACTCTGTTCTGCTCTGTTCTGCTCTGCTCTGCTCTGCTCTACTCTGTTCTGCTCTACTCTGTTCTGTTCTGTTCTGTTCTGTTCTGCTCTGCTCTACTCTGTTCTGCTCTACTCTGTTCTGTTCTGTTCTGTTCTGTTCTGCTCTGCTCTGCTCTGCTCTACTCTGTTCTGCTCTACTCTGTTCTGTTCTGTTCTGCTCTGTTCTGCTCTACTATGCTCTGCTCTGTTCTGCTCTGTTCTGTTCTACTCTGTTCTGCTCTGTTCTGCTCTGCTCTGTTCTGTTCTGCTCTGTTCTACTCTGTTCTGCTCTGTTCTGTTCTGTTCTGTTCTGCTCTGTTCTGTTCTGCTCTGCTCTGTTTGTTATATTTTCGAGGGTTGCAGGTAGAACCCTTTTTGGTTCCAGGTAGAACCGTTTTGGGTTCCATGTAGAACCCTCTGTGAAAAAGTTCTACATGGAACCAAAAATGGTTCTTCAAACGGTTATCTTATGGGGACAGCTGAAGAACCCTTTTAGGTTCTAGATAGAACCTTTCTTTCTAGGGGTGTACGGAGGAGGAAGAGAGAAAGAGTGGTTGGTGTTGTTCTTGTCATAATTTTCACTAGCATCATAAAATCATCACTTTTCATGGCAGGAAAGCCTCTTCAATAGAATCTTGGTAGAGATAGAGAGATTTGTGGAGGTGTGGCACAAGGTTGTACTATTGACCGATGGCCTGAGCCTCTCCTGGCACTCTGGTCCTGTACAGCCCTGCTGTATGCCGTCACCGCTGAACCTCTTAGATAACCATGTACAGTACGTGGTTCAGTGAACCTTGATCGTTTGATCAGTAACCTTGACTGAGACCTGAAAAATCACGTTAGCTCCCAGAGCCAATACTTAGCCTGCATCCCAAAGTGTACCCTACGCCCTATATACTGTATAGTGCACTTCTTTTGACCAGGACCCATAGGGAAATACCATTCAGCCATGGACCATCTCCTCACATCATCTCAATACAACAGACCCTGAAATACCATTCAGCCATGGTCCATGTCCTCACATCATCTCAATACAACAGACCCTGAAATACCATTCAGCCATGGTCCATCTCCTCACATCATCTCAATACAACAGACCCTGAAATACCATTCAGCCATGGACCATCTCCTCACATCATCTCAATACAACAGACCCTGAAATACCATTCAGCCATGGTCCATGTCCTCCCATTCTCTCTAATGTCACTGCAGGTATTATGAACAACCTATCAGATCAGGTCAGATCAGATCACAGCTATAATATTTGAGGTGTAAACAGGATCAGGAAACACATCTTGTCTCAGGATCGTCTGTCTTGTACTGTTCAGTCACAACATATTTCATAACCGTTATGTTTGTTGTTGATGTGTGTGTGTGTGTGTGTGTGTGTGTGTGTGTGTGTGTGTGTGTGTGTGTGTGTGTGTGTGTGTGTGTGTGTGTGTGTGTGTGTGTGTGTGTGTGTGTGTGTGTGTGTGTGTGTGTGTGTGTGCCCGCGCGCACCATTGAGAGAAAAGACTGTGTTTCTGGAACAATTACTATCTCGCATTGTCATCAAACACAAACAAACACACACACAAACACACACACACACAAACACACACACACACACACACACACACACACAATTTCCATTCACTGACCTTCAACTTACTAACCCCAATTTTCCCAGCAGCCCAGTCAAGGCCAGCAGCACCTTATCTTAGATCAATCCTGCCGCGACATCACCAGAGGAAAGACTGATTGACCAGTCCAGTAGAGCTAAATAGGCAGCTGTGTGTGTGTGTGTGTGTGTGTGTGTGTGCGTGCGTGCGTGCGTGCGTGCGTGTGTGTGCGTGCGTGCGTGCGTGCGTGCGTGTGTGCGTGTGTGTGTGTGTGCGTGTGTGTGTGCGTGCGTGTGTGTGTGTGTGCGTGCGTGCGTGTGTGTGTGTGCGTGCGTGTGTGTGTGCACATTGTTGTCCATGAATCGTATTATGTTTGTTGGTTGGAAGGGAGACTCGATGTCACACAGCTGCCATCCCATCTACCAGAGGAACCCTTATTGAATCCTATAAGAGAACAGTAGGTAGTGTCCCAAATGGCACCCTATTCCCTATAAAGTGCACTACTTTAGACCAGAACCCCATAGAGAAGACACTCTGACCGCGTCCCAATGGCACCCTATTCCCTATAAAGTGCACTACTTTAGACCAGAGCCCCATAGAGAAGACACTCTGACCGCGTCCCAAATGACACCCTATTTCCCATAGGGCTCTGGTCAAATGTAGTGCACTATATAGGGAATAGGGTGACATTTTGACTACCCCGTGCCTTCCTCTGACTAACCCCGTACCCCCGCACATTGACTCGGTGGTACTCGTTATTGTTATTTTATTGTGTTACTATTTTTATTTTAGTTTATTTAGCACATTTTCCATACTTACTTTTTAAACTCTGCGTTGTTGGGTATCAGGTCTCAATGTAAATCCAGGTTGATGGTTGAACTTTAATGGAAGGCTTGTGATGGGGTATCCCTTTCCTGCAGTCAAATGACCTAGTGGCCTCTCATGGGTCGAATGTTATTCATATTTTAATAATAAAAAATAAATTTAAAAAAATGCAGAAATTCCGGTGTTTCTATGTGAAATGGTTTTGTTATAGTTCAGTGTTCTGTGATGTATATGAAGTGTAATATTGGGATGCAAACTCAAAATTGAATGCATTTCAACTCTATATCTGACATGGTACAGGTGTCTTCTTTTTTTAAGCCCATAACCACGTGTGTGAGGTGTATACTTTGGTTTTAGAGTGGATTTGTTTAAGACTACCAAGAAACACTCTGTGCGACCCTGATTTAGCCCACTGCAGTAAAAGGTTTTAAGGGCTCTCAAGTAAGCATTTCACGGTAAGGTCTACACCTGTGGTATTTGGCGCATGTGACAAATACAATTTGATTTGATTTGATTTGGGACACAGACAGCGTCTCCTCTATCGAAACGGAGTTCAGGGTTAGGTTCTGTTGTGTTGGATAATGTTCTGTGAGGCACGTTCACTAACACTGTGTTTGGCTGTAACACTATAACAGTACATTATATAATGTTCTGTTGTTAGGTTATGCTTGCCTGTGTTTGGTTAGGTACTCTCTCTGATAATGTGTTGGGTAATGCTCAATGGGTTAGGGTTAGTGATCTCAGTCTGGGTTCAATGGGTTAGGGTTAGTGATCTCAGTCTGGGTTCAATGGGTTAGGGTTAGTGATCTCAGCCTGGGTTCAATGGGTTAGGGTTAGTGATCTCAGTCTGGGTTCAATGGGTTAGGGTTAGTGATCTCAGCCTGGGTTCAATGGGTTAGGGTTAGTGATCTCAGTCTGGGTTCAATGGGTTAGGGTTAGTGATCTCAGTCTGGGTTCAATGGGTTAGGGTTAGTGATCTCAGTCTGGGTTCAAGTCTCTCTCCCTCTTAATGTCAACAATCAGCAAAGAGCACAACAACTCCATCCCTGCTCAATCTTCTCTCTCTTCCTGTTTGCTTTTCTCTCTCTTTCTCAGTATTTTCCCCCTCCCTCTCTCTGCCTCTGTCTACCCCACCCCCCTCTATCTCTCTCTTCTCCCATACTCTCTGCCTCTCTCTTCCTCTCTCCATCTCTCTGCACCCCCTCGTCTCTGTGTCAGTCCATTCCTGATCGATGCGGAGCTGGGTAGAGGAGAGGAGAATCACACAGTGTTCAGTTCCCTTCTATTCCCAGGTCATGTGCTCAGGTGCTCTCTCTCATCACAACATTAAACACTAATGGCTAATCTGTTCTGTCCTGTCCTTTCCTCCTGTCCTGTCCTGCCCTGTCCTGTCCTGTCCTGTCCTGTTCTGTCCTGTTCAGCCCAGTGGTGACTCAACAGATCTGTTAGGCCCCACTAGCTCAACTGTTATTGGCTCTCAAACCAATGAGGCCAACCCAGCTGTGATTAGCTGTGACCCAAATGATCCAAAGGGTCCACCCAATATGGCCGTCAGCACCGGTCCACCCACCATAAATGGAAATATTCGTTGTACTGATTGTAAGAACAGGTCACACACTGTTCTGTGTCAGACTGTATAGCTCTGTGTCAGTTAACCAGGATGCTAGGTTAATCATTATCAGGACTATAAAGGTCTGGACGGCAGGACAGAGCAGTGGAAAAAAAAACTCTGTGGTGTGTGTGTGTGTGTGTGTGTGTGTGTGTGTGTGTGTGTGTGTGTGTGCGTACGTGCGTGCGTGCGTGCGTGTGTTGTACAGACAGTGAACCCTGGTTGGTTTCCAATAACATGTAATATAGTCCGGTGGAATTCTACAAGGTGTGTTCATCCAGCTGTGTGTTCATCTGATGTGTGTGTGTGTGTGTGTGTGTGTCTGTGTGTGTGTGTGTGTGTGTGCGCGTGTGTCTGTGTTATCCCAGCTGTACCCCAGTGTGGTGCTGATAGGTTCAGAACATAGTGCTCCACTTCACCATAGCTACCCAGGAACAGGCATTCATGCTCCCTCCTCTACGGCTGTGGAAATGAATACATATTATGAAACAAGATAACAGACTGAGGGTGCGTCCCAAATGGCTCCCTCAGGATGGTGTTGGAGTCGTGCCTGGCCATGCAGTCATGGGTGAACAGGGAGTACAGGAGGGGACTGAGCATGCACCCCTGAGGGGCCTCCGTGTTGAGGATCAGCGTGGCAGATGTGTTGTTACCTACCCTTACCACCTGGGGGGCGGCCCGTCAGGAAGTCCAGGATCCAGTTGCAGAGGGAGGTGTTTAGTCCCAGGGTCCTTAGCTTAGTGATGTTGCTTGCCTCGAAGCGAGCATAGAAGTGATTTAGCTCGTCTGGTAGGCTTGTGTCACTGGGCAGCTCACGGCTGTGCTTCCCTTTGTAGTCTGTAATAGTTTTCAAGCCCTGCCACATCCGCAGAACGTCGGAGCCGGTGTAGTACGATTCAATCTTAGTCCTGTATTGACTCATTAAGTTTGCCGACAACACAACAGTGGTAGGCCTGATCACCGACAACGATGAGACAGCCTATAGGGAGGAGGTCAGAGACCTGGCCGTGTGGTGCCAGGATAACAACCTCTCCCTCAACGTGATCAAGACAAAGGAGATGATTGTGGACTACAGGAAAAAAAGAGGACTGAGTACGCCCCCATTCTCATCGACGGGGCTGTAGTGAAACAGGTTGAGAGCTTCAGGTTCCTTGGTGTCCACATCACCAACAAACTATCATGGTCCAAACACACCAAGACAGTCATGAAGAGGGCATGACAAAGCCTATTCCCCCTCAGGAGACTGAAAAGATTTGGCATGGGTCCTCAGATCCTCAAAAGGTTCTACAGCTGCACCATCGAGAGCATCCTGACTGGTTGCATCACCGCCTGGTATGGCAACTGCTCGGCCTCCAACCGCAAGGCATTACAGAGGGTAGTGCGTATGGCCCAGTACATCACTGGGGCCAAGCTTCCTGCCATCCAGGACCTCTATATCAGGCGGTGACAGAGGAAGGCCCAAAAAATTATCAAAGACTCCAGCCACCCTAGTCATAGACTGTTCTCTCTGCTACCGCACGGCAAGCGGTACCGGAGCGCCAAGTCTAGGTCCAAAAGGCTTCTTAACAGCTTCTAACCCCAAGTCATAAGACTCCTGAACAGCTAATAATGGCTACCCAGACTATTTGCATTGCTCTTTTACGCTGCTGTTACACTGTTAATTATTTATGCATAGTCACTTTAACTCTACCCACATGTACATATTACCTCCATTACCTCGACATTCCGGTGCCCCCGCACATTGACTCTGTACCGGTACCCCCTGTATATAGCCTCCCCACTGTTATTTTATTTTACTGCTGATCTTTAATTATTTTTATTTTTTTACTTATCTATTTTTTACTTTCTTTTCTTAAAAACTGCATTGTTGGTTAAGGGCTTGTCAGTGAGCATTTCACTGTTAATGTCTACACCTGTTGTATTCGGCGCATGTGGCAAATAAAATTTGATTTGATTTGATTTGATTTACCCATAGGGCTCTGGTCAAACGTAGTGCACTATATAGGGAATAGGGTGCCATTTTGGAAATAAACTGAATCCTAGCTAGAGAAGCAACAAGCTCTCACAATCTCACTGCAGAATCCGACGTTTGTCTATAAACGTCACATTTCTACGTTGAAAGTTTAGGCATTCTTTCTGAATGTTTAAGGTAAGGGTTAAGGTTTGGGATAGGGTTAAAACAAACAAAACAAAAATGAGTGCCTAGCACTGGGATTGAATACACGACCCTCGGAGTCAGAGCTCACGGCTTTACGCCCATCCACCATCTCCGTCCACAACGCCCTAGCAAAACCAAAGGATACTGAACAGTAATAGCACTCACCGTTTCCCCTAGTGGACAGTTTTGAAGTCATCTCCCGACATCCTGCTTACCTGGACGGACGTTGAATTTGACGGTGGATCTTGAGCGACCTGGCTGAGAGAAGATCATGTAGTGTGCAGAACTGAACACAGTGTTATTGTCCCTGTTGTCGTCTCTGTTAGAGCTGTTATCAATGTGCTGGATTACACTGGACTGGGGTTGAAGGGAAGTTCAAACACTCATCTATAATCTCATTCTGAACTACTGGGACAGGTCTGGTAACCCAGGTTACATAAGAGAGGAGGACAGAATGACTGTCTGGTAACCAAGGTTACATAAGAGAGGAGGACAGAATGACTGTCTGGTAACCAAGGTTACATAAGAGGAGGACAGAATGACTGTCTGGTAACCCAGGTTACATAAGAGAAGAGGACAGAATAATGAGTCTCTCTCTCTCTCTCTCTCTCTCTCTCTCTCTCTCTCTCTCTCTCTCTCTCTCTCTCTCTCTCTCTCTCTCTCTCTCTCTGTGTGTGTGACTGAAGGTTCTCTGAGGTCACAACCATAATTACTGTAATAATGGGACAGATCAATAGCGAGTGGCCTGGTGTGTGTGTGTGTGTGTGCGTGCAGTGGTCGAAAAAGTACTAAATTGTCATACTTTTTAATAGAAAAAGACTCAAGAAAAAGTGAAAGTCACACAGTAAAATACTACTTGAGTAAAAGCCTAAAAGTATTTGGTTTTAAATATACTTAAGTATCAAAAGTAAATGTAAAAGTATAAACCATTTCAAATTCCTTATATTAAGCAAACCAGACGGCACAATGTTTTTATTTATTTATTTTTGGCATTTAGCCAGGGGGACACTCCAACACTCCAACATAATTTACAAACAAAGCATGTGTGTTTAGTGAGTCTGCCAGATCAGAGGCAGTAGGGATGACCAGGGATGTGCTCTTGATAAATGTGTGAATTGGACCATTTTCCTGTCAAAATGTAACGAGTACTTTTGGGTGTCAGGGAAAATGTATGGAGTAAAAAGTACATTATTTTCTTTAGGAATGTAGTGAAATAAAAGTAAAAGTTGGCAAAAATATAAATAGTAAAGTAAAGTACAGATACCCCAAAAAACTACTTAAGTAGTGCTTTAAAGTAATTTACACCACTGTGTACGTGTGCGTGTGCGTGTGTGTGTGGCAGACAGAGGAGGACAGTTTCAGAGATGGAGACAGAGGAGGACAGTATCGGAGATGGAGACAGAGGAGGACAGTATCAGAGATGGAGACAGAGGAGGACAGTATCAGAGATGGAGACAGAGGAGGACAGTTTCAGAGATGGAGACAGAGGAGGACAGTATCAGAGATGGAGACAGAGGAGGACAGTATCAGAGATGGAGACAGAGGAGGACAGTATCAGAGATGGAGACAGAGGAGGACAGTAGCAGAGATGGAGTCAGAGGAGGACAGTAGCAGACATGGAGACAGAGGAGGACAGTATCAGAGATGGAGACAGAGGAGGACAGTTTCAGAGATGGAGACAGAGGAGGACAGTATCAGAGATGGACACAGATGAAGCCATGACTGCAATTGACATTTTCCTGCACTCACATTAAGCCTTCTCCTGGACGTACAGAAAAACCGTGCTCAATAAAGAATCTCAATGAAGTGCTTTTTAGTCCAGGAGTGGCTTCATTTGGGTCCGCTAAAAGATTTGTGACTCAGATATCTTAAATGGCAAAAGTACAAGACAAGAGAAATGTAAAATTCACAATTGGCATTGAGATAAGTGCAGCTGAACCGTAAAAAGCTATTTTCAGAGATCAGTGGAGACATTGTGTACATATTTTCAGTAATGTGGCAGGCTTGATTTGTGACTCAGATACTGCATTGGTTACTTTTAAAGGGCAGAACTAACTAAGTGGAGCTGAAACATGATGCACTCTTCTCTCACTGGAGTCCTTTTTCCAGATTGCGTAACTCTTCTTAGTCATGCATGAGTGCTGTGGTGGTTGTCTCTAGGTCATGTGTGTGTGTGTGTGTATGTTCGTGCTGCTGAGAAAAATGACAGATGGCAAATGAACAAAAAGCAGGAAAGTGTAAGAGGACATACAGTGCCTTCGGAAAGTATTCAGACCCCTTGACTTTTTCCACATTTTGTTACGTTACAGACTTATTCTAAAATGGATTAAATTGTTTTTTTTCCCCCTCATCTACACACAATACCCCAAAATGACAAAGCAAAAACACGTTTTTAGAAATGTTGGCAAATTTATTTAAAAAAAAAACGGAAATACTACATTTACATAAGTATTCAGACCCGTTACTCAGTACTTTGTTGAAGCACCTTTGGCAGCGATTACAGCCTCAAGTCTTCTTGGGTATGACGCCACAAGCTTGGCACACCTGTATTTGGGGAGTTTCTCCCGTTCTTTTCTGCAGATCCTCTCAAGCGCTGTCAGGTTGGATGGGGAGCGTTGCTGCACAGCTATTTTCAGGTCTCTCCAGAGATGTTTGAACGGGTTCAAGTCCAGGCTCTGGCTGGGCCACACAAGGACATTCATAGACTTGTCCCTCAGCCAATCCTGCGCTGTCTTGGCTGTGTGCTTAGGGTCGTTGTCCTGTTGGAAGGTGAACCTTCACCCCAGTCAGAGGTCCTGAGCACTCTGGAGCAGGTTTTCATCAAGGATCTCTCTGTACTTTGCTCCGTTCATCTTTCCCTCAATCCTGACTAGTCTCCCAGTTCCTGCTGCTGAAAAACATCCCCACAGCATGATGCTGCCACCACCATGCTTCACCGTAGGGATGGTGCCAGGTTTCCTCCAGACGTGATGCTTGGCATTCAGGCCAAAGAGTTCAATCTTGGTTTCATTAGACCAGAGAATCTTGTTTCTCATGGTCTGAGAGTCTTTAGGTGCCTTTTGGCAAACTCCAAGCGGGCTTTCATGTGCCTTTTACTGAGGAGTGGCTTCTGTCTCTACCATAAAGGCCTGATTGGTGGAGTGCTGCAGAGATAGTTGTCCTTCTGGAAGGTTCTCCCATCTCCACAGAGGAACTCTGGAGCTCTTCCAGAGTGACCATCAGGTTCTTGGTCACCTCCCTGACCAATGCCCTTCTCCCTTGGTGGTTCTAAACTTATTCTATTTAAGAATGATGGAGGCCACTGTGTTCTTGGGGACCTTCAATGATGCAGACATTTTTTGGTACCCTTCCCCAGATCTGTGCCTCGACACAATCCTGTCTCGGAGCGTTACGGACAATTCCTTCGACCTCATGGCTTGTTTTTGCTCTGACATGCACTGTCAACTGCGGGACCTTATATAGACAGGTGTGTGTCTTTCCAAATCATGTCCAATCAATTGAATTTACCACAGGGGGACTCCAATCAAGTTGTAGAAACATCTCAAGGATGGTCAATGAAACAGGATGCACCTGAGGTAAATTTCGAGTCTCATAGCAAAGTAGATATGTAAATAAGGTATTTCTGTTTTTTATTTTGAATACATTAGCAAAAACTTCTAAAAACCTGTTTTCACTTTGTCATTATGTGGTATTGTGTGTAGATTGATGAGGATAAAAAAATAAGGCTGTAAAGTAACAAAATGTGGAAAAAGTCAAGGGGTCTGAATACTTTCTGAAGGCCCTGTATATACACACACACATACACACACACACACACACATACACACACACACATACACACACACACACACACACACACACACACACACACACACACACACACACACACACACACACACACACACACAGGCCTCTGAGAGCTGGATGAACACACCTTGTAGAATTCCACCAGTCTATATGACATGTTATTGGAAACCAACCAGGGAAAAACACCAAGTTTATTGGGCACGTGTCTGACCTGAATACAAAATAGACTTTCTGTCTTGTGTGTCCTACTTTACCGGCCTGGCCAGCCTCTTCTGGGAGAAGGTTGTTGTGAAAGTTTCCATCCCAAATGGCACCCTATTCGCTATATAGTGCACTACTTTTGACCAGAGCTCTATGGAAAAAACGACTGAGCAGGAACTCTACAGTTACAGGTAACTGGAGTTGCAAATCCAGGCTGACAGGTACTGACACTATCAAGGAACAGATCAGTACAGCACAGTCACATGTAGTCTGTCAGTAAGAAACACTACAGCATGTAGTCCACTATCACCAGTTCTGATTGACATATCTAGGCCCTGACTGACAGTTATCCAGTTCTGATTGACATATCTAGGCCCTGACTGACAGTTATCCAGTTCTGATTGACATATCGAGGCCCTGACTGACAGTTATCCAGTTCTGATTGACATATCTAGGCCCTGACTGATGGTTATCCAGTTCTGATTGACATATCTAGGCCCTGACTGACGGTTATCGAGTTCTGATTGACATATCTAGGCCCTGACTGACGGTTATCCAGTTCTGATTGACATATCTAGGCCCTGACTGACGGTTATCCAGTTCTGATTGACATATCTAGGCCCTGACTGACAGTTATCCAGTTCTGATTGACATATCTAGGCCCTGACTGACAGTTATCCAGTTCTGATTGACATATCTAGGCCCTGACTAACGGTTATCCAGTTCTGATTGACATATTGAGGCCCTGACTGACAGTTATCCAGTTCTGATTGACATATCTAGGCCCTGACTGACAGTTATCCAGTTCTGATTGACATATCTAGGCCCTGACTGACAGTTATCCAGTTCTGATTGACATATCTAGGCCCTGACTAACGGTTATCCAGTTCTGATTGACATATTGAGGCCCTGACTGACAGTTATCCAGTTCTGATTGACATATCTAGGCCCTGACTGACAGTTATCCAGTTCTGATTGACATATCTAGGCCCTGACTGACGGTTATCCAGTTCTGATTGACATATCTATGCCGTGACTGACGGTTATCCAGTTCTGATTGACATATCTAGGCCCTGACTGACAGTTATCCAGTTCTGATTGACATATCTAGGCCCTGACTGACAGTTATCCAGTTCTGATTTACATATCTAGGCCCTGACTGACAGTTATCCAGTTCTGATTGACATATCTAGGCCCTAACTGACGGTTATCCAGTTCTGATTGACATATCTAGGCCCTGACTGACGGTTATCCAGTTCTGATTGACATATCTAGGCCCTGACTGACAATTATCCAGTTCTGATTGACATATCTAGGCCCTGACTAACGGTTATCCAGTTCTGATTGACATATCTAGGCCCTGACTAACGGTTATCCAGTTCTGATTGACATATCTAGGCCCTGACTGACAGTTATCCAGTTCTGATTGACATATCTAGGCCCTGACTGACAGTTATCCAGTTCTGATTGACATATCTAGGCCCTGACTGACAGTTATCCAGTTCTGATTGACATATCGAGGCCCTGACTGACAGCTTTCCAGTTCTGATTGGCATATCTAGGCCCTGACTGACAGTTATCCAGTTCTGATAGACATATCTAGGCCCTGACTGACAGTTATCCAGTTCTGATTGACATATCGAGGCCCTGACTGACAGCTTTCCAGTTCTGATTGGCATATCTAGGCCCTGACTGACAGTTATCCAGTTCTGATTGGCATATCTAGGCCCTGACTGACAGTTATCCAGTTCTGATTGACATATCGAGGCCCTGACTGACAGCTTTCCAGTTCTGATTGGCATATCTAGGCCCTGACTGACAGTTATCCAGTTCTGATTGACATATCTAGGCCCTGACTGACAGTTATCCAGTTCTGATTGACATATCTAGGCCCTGACTGACGGTTATCCAGTTCTGATTGACATATCTAGGCCCTGACTGACGGTTATCCAGTTCTGATTGACATATCTAGGCCCTGACTGACGGTTATCCAGTTCTGATTGACATATCTAGGCCCTGACTGACGGTTATCCAGTTCTGATTGACATATCTAGGCCCTGACTGACGGTTATCCAGTTCTGATTGACATATCTAGGCCCTGACTGACAGTTATCCAGTTCTGATTGACATATCTAGGCCCTGACTGACGGTTATCCAGTTCTGATTGACATATCTAGGCCCTGACTGACAGTTATCCAGTTCTGATTGACATATCTAGGCCCTGACTGACAGTTATCCAGTTCTGATTGACATATCGAGGCCCTGACTGACAGTTATCCAGTTCTGATTGACATATCTAGGCCCTGACTGACAGTTATCCAGTTCTGATTGGCATATCTAGGCCCTGATTGCAAGCTATCCACTTCTGATTGACATATCAAGGCCCTGACTGACAGTTATCCAGTTCTGGTTGACATATCAAGGCCCTGACTGACAGTTATCCAGTTCTGGTTGACATATCAAGGCCCTGACTGACAGTTATGCTAACATTGTTGTTTTAGATTCCTTCAGTCTCTCTCCAGTAGAGTACATTTCCCAGTAGAGACATTTCCAGTTATTCTAGAGCCAGTAAGTGGAGGCTTTGTGAAGACTTCCTCATGCTTCCTGAATGTACATATCATGTTCAGGAACGGTTCATACAATGCCTTGCAAAAGTATTCATCCCCCTTGCCGTTTTTTTCCTATTTTGTTGCATTACAACCTGTAATTTAAATGGATCTTTATTTGGATTTCATGTAATGGACATACATAAAATAGTCCAAATTGGTGAAGTGAAATGAAAAACATTACTATAAAAAAATAAATAACGGAAAAGTGGTGCGTGCATATGTATTCACACCCTTTGCTATGAAGCCCCTAAATAACATCTGGTGCAACCAATTACCTTCAGAAGTCACATAATTAGTTAAATAAAGTCCACCTGTGTGCAATCTAAGTGTCACATGATCTGTCACATGATCTCAGTATATATATACACCTGTTCTGAAAGGCCCCAGAGTCTGCAACACCACCAAGCAGGCGGCACCATGAAGACCAAGGAGCTCTCCAAATAGGTCAGGGACAAAGTTGTGGAGAAGTACAGATCAGGGTTGGGTTATAAAAAAATATCAGAAACTTTGAACATCCCACGGAGCACCATTAAATCCATTATTAAAAAATGGAAAGAATATGGCACCACAACAAACCTGCAAAGAGGGGGCCGCCCACCAAAAGTCACGTACCAGGCAAGGAGGGCATTAATCAGAGAGGCAACAAAGAGACCAAAGATAACCCTGAAGGAGCTGCAAAGCTCCACAGCGGAGATTGGAGTATCTGTCCATAGGACCACTTTAAGCCATATACTCCACAGAACTGGGCTTTACGGAAGAGTGGCCAGAAAAAAAAATAAGCAAACACGTTTGGTGTTCGCCAAAGGGCATGTGGGAGACTCCCCAAACATATGGAAGAAGGTACTCTGGTCAGATGAGACTAAAATTGATATTTTTGGCCATCAAGAAAAACGCTATGTCTGGCACAAACCCAACACCTCTCATCACCCGGAGAACACCATCCCCACAGTGAAGCATGGTGGTGGCAGCATCATGCTGTGGGGATGTTTTTCATCGGCAGGGACTGGGAAACTGGTCAGAATTGAAGGAATGATGGATGACGCTAAATACAGGGACATTCTTGAGGGAAACCTGTTTCAGTCTTCCAGAGATTTGAGACTGGGATGGAAGTTCACCTTCCAGCAGGACAATGACCCTAAGCATACTGCTAAAGCAACACTTGAGTGGTTTAAGGGGAAACATTTAAATGTCTTGGAATGGCCTAGTCAAAGCCCAGACCTCAATCCAATTGAGAATCTGTGGTATGACTTAAAGATTGCTGTATACCAGCGGAACCCATCCAACTTGAAGGAGCTGGAGTAGTTTTGCCTTGAAGAATGGGCAAAAATCACAGTGGCTAGGTGTGCCAAGCTTATAGAGACATACCCCAAGAGACTTGCAGCTGTAATTGCTGCAAAAGGTGGCTCTACAAAGTATTGACTTTGGGGGGGGGGGGGGGGGGGGGGGGGGGGGGGGGGGGGGGGGTGGGGGGGGGGGGGGGGGGGGGGGGGGGGGGGGGGGGGGGGGGGGGGTGAATAGTTATGCACACTCAAGTTGTCTGTTTTTTTGTATTATTTCTTGTTTGTTTCACAAGAAAAAATATTTTGCATCTTCAAAGTGGTAGGCATGTTGTGTAAATCAAATGATACAAACCCCCCCAAAATAAACTTAAATTCCAGGTTGTAAGGCTACAAAATAGGAAAAATACCAAGGGGGTGAATACTTTCGCAAGCCACTGTATACAGTAGCCTTCATGGACTAACACAGGTCAGATATAGTAGCCTTCATGGACTAACACAGTTCAGATATAGTAGCCTTCATGGACTAACACAGTTCAGATATAGTAGCCTTCATGGACTAACACAGTTCAGATATAGTAGCCTTCATGGACTAACACAGTTCAGATATAGTAGCCTTCATGGACTAACACAGTTCAGATATAGTAGCCTTCATGGACTAACACAGTTCAGATATAGTAGCCTTCATGGACTAACACAGTTCAGATATAGTAGCCTTCATGGACTAACACAGTTCAGATATAGTAGCCTTCATGGACTAACACAGTTCAGATATAGTAGCCTTCATGGACTAACACAGTTCAGATATAGTAGCCTTCATGGACTAACACAGTTCAGATATAGTAGCCTTCATGGACTAACACAGTTCAGATATAGTAGCCTTCATGGACTAACACAGTTCAGATATAGTAGCCTTCATGGACTAACACAGTTCAGAGAAAGAGAGAGAGAGAGAGAGAGAGAGAGAGAGAGAGAGAGAGAGAGAGAGAGAGAGAGAGACAGAGAGAGAGAGAGAGAGAGAGAGAGAGAGAGAGAGAGAGAGAGAGAGAGAGAGAGAGAGAGAGAGAGAG